AGCGGTGCGACGGCCAGGGGTCCAATCCCGTGCTCTAATAACTAAGGGGCCCATTTTAATTTTTTTTTTATAAAAGTATTAAAATTTTAAATTACAACATAAAAATAAAATTTTAAGGGCCCCTAAATTTTTTTATTATTTTTTTTAGTTTTAATAATTAAATTTTTAATAAAAATATCATATAATTTTTTTATATAACACAAAGAACACAAAAAAAAAAAATCTAAGGGCCTAAAATTTTTTTTGCCCTAGGGCCTATAAAACTGTTGAGCCGGCACTGCATGTCCTCTTCAGCGTTAAAAAAAGAGTTACAAAGTCTGAACCAGATTAAGAACACAAAACATAGGATAATGAAGCCTTTCTTTTTTAAGGAGAAGAAGCTTATGAAGAACATTAAAACCCAGAAAAAGACAAGTTCACGAAACATAAAACTTAAAATATATTATAGTTGAAAAAGAGGACTAAAGTGAAAAAAATCTAAGGGACTGAAGGCTAGAATATTATGAGTATATGTTGAAAGGCAAAAAGACTGTGCAATCAGAGTTGAGCATTGGGCTCATGTTCATCACTAACGACTTCCAATTATAGTTCTAACTTCTAAAGTAAAACAAACCACATTACAAAACATTACACAAACCTTTAAATCATGACTCATAAACACTGATTTGGGCTTTGTAAACAGATTCTTCAGTGGGTTCCCGATTTGGTGTGATAATCGTACTGTTATGGTGATCACTGGTCTGTTTTCTTTTGCATCCTTGTAGTTGATTCCAAATACAAGTCAACATATTTTTAAGAGGGAGAAATTCTATGTAAGCATTGGATTTATAATAAAATTAGACAGGATTTATAGTAAAATTAGATATTGTTTGAACTTTATATGGAATCAATTGAGACATTATTTTAGATTTAACGCACTTCATTTTAATTACGGTTTTAAAATGTATTTAGTGTAATTAATCTGGTCATTAATGCATTATTGCACCTAGCTAAACAAACTTAACAATAGAAACGTCCAACATAACGTATTAAATGTCAATGTAATTCATTTAGTGGTATAAATGTAACATAAACAAACGAAACGTCCAAAAAATTAGATTTTATTTATGTAAGCACTATATACACTAATAGTATGAAAATTTAAATGTAAATCAAATATTAAATAATATATTTAATGGGAGTGCTAAATGGCCCAAAAGAAAAAGAAAAAGAGTAAAAGCCTTTTTTATATATATGATTTTTGAATAATCATAATCTTCTTTTAGTTTGTTTCATTTTAATAAATGTGTATTAAAAAAGTACACATGATATAGTTTAGTAGTCAGATTTAGCATATGTCTACCCGAGAAATAAAACATAGAGTAAAACTACTAAAAATGAAACAATATTTTAGACAAAAGAAAAAGAGTAAAACCCTCTCCTTTTTGAATAATCAAAATATTGTTTGTAATTATTTTTATATTAATAAATGTGTATTAAAAAAATACACGTGAGATATGAATTTAGTACTCATATTTAGTATATGTTTACCCAAAAAAAGAAAACATAGAGTGAAACTACTAAATAAAAAAATTGTTTAAACAATTTAGAGCTTTAGATTAGCATTAATGTTTCTATTTTTTTTTCGTCTTTTAAATCAAATGAATGAATTTAATGCATAAAAATTAGAAAAGAAAATTGACACATGTCGAAAAAATAGAGTGCCAAATGGCAATTTCTCATAGCTTGTCTAAAAAAAACCTTGTCATATTATATAAGATACGTAACGTAGGTAGAGTAAATAGTTGTGATTCTTTTGACAATTTACTTCTCTTATTATAATTATTTTCAATGTTTGTACCAATCAGTAATCATCATGTCTCTTCATCTTTTTTATCAGCCATGATTTCCTCGCTCTCTCTCATCATCATCAGCACCACCAAACACTACAAAAAACACGGCATGTGGCGTCAATTATCTATATGGTTTACGTCAGTTTTTAGTGACTTAAAAAAGCTTGCGTTAGTTATAAAACTAACGTCTCATGGGCTGACGTGAAGTTAATTAACTCTAAGTAACTGTTGTTAATATCCTTCCCATTTTTCAATTTTACGTCATTTACAAAAGTGATGTTGAATAAGTGACGTGTTCAAGCGTTTTTCTTGTAGTGAAACTTCCACCAAACAAGTCTCATCAAAACTACAATAAAAAGTTAAGAGAGATTTTGAGACATAGGAAACACACGATGAAGATCTTGGCCTTGCAAGGTAAGAAGAAACAAACAACTGTTCTTATTCAAGAAAGTAAGAGGAAGAAACAAAGCAAGCATATCCCTAAATGGATTATCGATCTCATGCATGAAGTGGGGGAACGAAAAAGGTTACATCGAGAAGTAATATTGTCGATCTGAATCTGAATCTCATCTCATCTCTTCTTGGGGAATGGAAGCATTACGGTCCGATCTTCATCTCTCTTAATTATGATTTTTTTTTTTTCTAAGAAAGTTTTCTTTCTTTGCAAGATTGATAAATATATCGTATGATTGAAAATTAAGATTTGCATGACTATATGAATTGGTTGTGTTTGTTTTGATAGTTAAGATCTGGTATTTTGTATAACAAATAATGTTATGTTTGCGAATGAATTAAGTTTCCATTTTCTTACTTCATGAATTTCAGCTTCGACTATATGTTGTTTCCGCATTGATATGTCAATTATACTATTGTGAAGTACTTATATTGATCTATAGACACTTGTGTTAGTATACTTTAATATATATCTATCCTATAATTAATACCTTGTTGCACATAGCAGAATTGGTCATCTCAATCTTCATATTTTGTAGGATATGCTAGTACCCTTGAGCGAAAATAAACCATTGTTTGTGAGAATATAGTTCAGTTTACTTTCTCGAATAGAACAGTATCCATAGAAGCTATCCGATTATCATAAAGAGAGTTTATGTATTCATAATTTTTTCCCTCCATGGATTCATAATTTTAAAAGTAATCTTTTAGATGGAAATTTTCTTTTACTAATTAATTGCAAAAAAATGCAAAATATAGTTTTAAAAACTATTGCCTCAAAACACATTATTGTTGGTTGGCAAGCAATTTTAAGTCATTCTAATTTTGATATATAATATATTCAATGATAATCAAACGATATTTAAGATTTCTTAACATGAGAGTTCCTCTCGAAAACATATATATAATGTCTCTCAAGAGAAATAGTGAGAAAGAAAAAAGCCCTACCTTTGGATGCAATTCCTGAAAACCCCATAGCTGTAAAACCAATCCGATATTAAAAACATTGTAATAAACTCTTGAGAGTTTTGCATTTTAGTGTGACAATATATGTTTTGTATATCTTGTTGTTCTTGGTGTATCAAATAAAGGTAAAATTTGCCATGTCTACATTTTTTCTCATTGATCACTATGGATGCAGTTTTAGTTGCAAGAATTGTAGAAGCAGTCATTGTAACATGCTTAAATGCCAAACATGATATCACCGAGAAGTTCACTTATGGCAAAGAGTTGGTCCATGAGAAAAAATATGGTTTTGCTTTGTACTATTGAAATTGTAACTGAAAGCAAAGGGGAAACCCTAGTAAAATAGAGAAGAAAGGCTTTTAACTTTATTTTCCAATCTTATCTCATCTGATTACATAGCATACCTATTTATAGCAAAAGCTAAGGTTACAATGATAGGACTTGATTACTGACAAGTGTCATCATCTGCACATGATGGTAGATCCAAGAGGAGCGAATCTATTCTTCATTTGGATCATAGTGTGAGCTGTATGATGAGCTGGTGCGACTGCTTTGACTGTACGGAGGAGCTGAGCACATTGTTTGTGTGATGATGCTCTGTTACCGTTGGAGTCTAAAGAGGCTTTATCATTTGAATCCTTGATGGGCTTTGGTGGATCAGTGAAGCCCATGTCTCTGTTTTGTTGAGTATCCTTTACATCCTCCCTCAAACTTGGAGTGGGTGGAGAAGTCACACCAAGTTTGTACCTTAGATCGCAGAAAGCTTGAACTGGAAGAGACTTCGTGAAGATATCAGCTAATTGATGAGTTCCCGAAATGTGATGAACAATAAGGGTACCCTCTGCAACTTGTTCTCGGACATAATGATAGTGGGTAGCAAAATGCTTTGACTGTTTGTGCAGAGCAGGATTAGCAGAGAGATAAACCGCTGATAGATTGTCACAATATAACTCTGGAGCTTGAGAGAGAGGCATACCAATGTTGAGTAGCAGATCTTTGAGCCAAATGATTTCTGCTGCAGTATCTGAAAGACACCTATATTCAGCTTCAGTTGAACTTCTGGAGACTGTCGGTTGACGTTTTGCAGACCAAGAGATAATGTTAGTCCCTAGGAATGTACAAAAGCCACCTGTAGACCTTCTAGTGTCTTGACAACCAGCCCAATCACTGTCACTATACGCCCTTAGTGTGAAATCAGTGTCAGGTGTGAAAGAGATCCCATAATCCAGAGTTCCTTTAATGTACCTTATGATTCTCTTGAGAAGATTGAAGTCAGCTAGAGTTGGAGAGTGCATCTTTTGACAGACATAATTGACTGCAAATTGAATGTCTGGTCTTGTAAGGGTAAGATACTGCAACTTTCCTGCTAAACTTCGAAAAAGGGTTGGATTATCGAACTGTTGAGCTTGACCAGCAACTTTGTTGAGCTGAAGAGGAAGTGGTGTGGGCATTGGGGCACAATCTGTCATGCCTGCAGTGATAAGGAGGTCCTCTGCATATTTGTGTTGATTGAGAAACAGACCTTTGGAGTGATAGTGAGCCTGAATACCAAGAAAGTAACTGAGTTGACCCATATCCTTCATTCTGAACTCTGTACTGAGAGACTGCAGAAGCTTGGCTATTAATTCTGAGCTGCTTCCCGTCAATAACATGTCATCCACATAAAGTAAGAGGATGATAAGCTCATTATCTCTGTAATAAACAAAAAGAGACGGATCCTTTAAACTGCATTCAAAACCATACTGAAGAAGGAAGGTACTGAACTTATTAAACCATTCCCTTGGCGCTTGTTTTAAGCCATAGACTGCTTTGTGTAGTTTCCAAACATGAGCAGGATTTTCTGGATCATGAAACCCTGGAGGTTGATTCATGTATACTGTTTCTGATAAGTCTCCATGCAAGAAGGCGTTTTTGACGTCTAGCTGTTTGATTTCCCAATTCAAAACAGTAGCAGCATGTAGAACAAGACGCACCGTTGCAGTCCTCACAACAGGGCTGAAGGTCTCAAGAAAATCTACACCTTCTTCTTGATCATAGCCTTTGGCTACAAGACGTGCTCTAAGCTTGTCAAGAGTACCATCGGCATTAAGTTTTGTTCTGAAAACCCATCGACAACCAAGAATGTTCATATCTGGCTGATAAGGAACCAAAGAGAAAGTCTTTGTGTCAACAAAAGACTCGATTTCCTCACCCATTGCAGCGGTCCATCCGGGATGTTTGAGAGCAGAGGCCACTGTTTTGGGTTCCTTGACAATGACAGGTGTAGTATGCATTGCATACTTAGGGTTAGGCTTTCTGACGCCATCTTTTCCTCTGGTGACCATAGAGTGTTCATTGACAACAGGTGGTGGCAGTGGAGGAAAATCAGCATCAGTGAACAAAGTGTCTGCATTTGATGTTGATGGAGAGGTAGCATCTGGTACAGTAATTGCAGGTTCTGCATTTGTAGGATGCTCCTGATGTGGATTTGTTATTGGAGGTATCACTGAAACAGGGATTTCAACTGGTTCAGTATTACCTTGTGAGACTGAATTTGGAGTATGCAGTGGAGGCAATGCACCTTGTTGCCAGGATGAGAGAATAGAGGTCTTGGCTGCAGCATGAAACTGAGCATAATCTTCTGCAAAAGGATAGACCTGCTCATCAAAAATAACATGTCTACTAATATAAACTCTACCTGTAGGAGGATAGACACACCGATAACCTTTGTATTTATCATTATAGCCGATGAAAACGCATTTCAGAGACTTTGGCTCAAACTTGTTATTACCATAAGCCCTCAGAGTAGGATAACATGCACTTCCAAACGTCCTTAATGCTGAATAATCAGGTTTCTGCATAAACAAAGCTTCAAAAGGACTCTTTAGAGGCTTGTGAGCAGTTGTAGGTAGCAGGTTACTCAGGTAGTTTGCAGTAAAAAAGGCTTCAACCCAGTACTGCTGTGGAACCTTCCCATGAAACAACATGCTGAGACCTAACTCTGTTAAGTGCCTGTGCTTTCTTTCAGCAAGACCGTTTTGTTGCGGCGTATGAGGACATGAGATTAACTGCTTGATCCCACATTGTGCCAAATGAGCAACAAATTGATTACTGACAAATTCACCACCCCCATCACACTGAAACATCTTGATTTTCTGATTTAACTGATTCTCAACAAAGGTTTGGAACAAGAGAAAAACTGAGTAGAAATCAGACTTATTCTTCAATGGATAAAACCAGCAATAACGAGAGAAATTGTCAATGAAAATGACATAGTATTTAAACCCTTGAGAAGAACAAACTGGGGCAGGTCCCCATAAGTCACAATGTAATCTCTCTAAAGGCTTTGTAGCTACAAAAGTAGAAGAAGAAAAAGGAAGCTGAGCACTCTTTCCAAGCTGGCAAGACTCACACAACTTGTTGGTGCGTTTATTCACTGATATAGCTTCTGTTCTAGATAGGTGTTGAAGAATCTCTGCATGTGGATGCCCTAATCTTTGGTGCCACACTTCATCACTGGTGGAGTGTTGTCTTGTTGAATAGAAGGCTGTGAATGCAGGATTTTCCAACACATAGAGATCCTTATCCCTGCGTCCGACTGTGAGGAGCTGCTTTGTTTGCTTGTCCTTTACACGCACACCATCAGAGTCAAATTTAAAGGAGCATGGGTAATCTGAGCACAACTTTGAAACAGAAAGAAGATTCCTAGCAACATCAGGACAGACAAGAACATCATTAAGGGGCAGAGGTTTACCTGACAGTGTCTGAAGGGGTATAGTACCAATGTGAGTTATTGGCAAGAAGTCACCATTCCCAACCATTACAGAATCATGTCCTTGATAAGGCTGAGACTGCTGCAGATTATTGACAGAGTTGGTGATGTGTGCAGTAGCTGCTGTGTCTGGGAGCCAGTCATTGCCAGTGCGATGTTCTTCATCAGAGATTCTCAGAGCAGCCATAGCAGTTGGTAGGGATGGCTGAGAGTAAGATTCATTGAACCGATTGTAACACTTGAAAGCACTGTGACCATATTTCCCGCATATCTGACAAGTTGGGCGAGAGGAATCACTGTTCTGACCATTGCCATGTTGTTGAAAGCCACGACCTTTTGTAGAGTAGTTGCCTCTTCCTCGATTACCAAAGCGTCCTCCCCTGTTGTTTGAACCACCTTTGTCATAGTAGCTCTTTTCAGTGTGAAAAACCAGATGAGGAGTGACCTCAGGAGCAGAAGAGTAACTCTGTTGCTTATCATCAAAAGCAATGAGCTTGAAAACCACATCTTCATAGTAAGGACCAGGAGGCGTGTCCATAGAATGCTCAATAACAGTAGTTACAGGCTCATACTCTTTTCCCAAACCACTTAGCAAAGCATAGATTTTTTCTTGTTCAGTCATAGGAAAATCTATAGAGTGAAGCTGATCAAACACTTGTTTCATTTCACCAACATACTCTTCCATAGTTTTCCCAGATTTAAGACAAGACCTTAACTTTTTCTGTAAATCATACTTCCTAGTAGTAGAGACTCTATTAAACTTTTTGGCAAGAGCAGACCATACCTCATGAGCAGAGTGCATCCCATAGACCACTCTCAAAGCAGATTCAGACAGAGAACCAAAGATCCAAGCGAGAACAAGCTGGTCATACTGAACCCACCGTGTAAACTCTGGATTTGGAGATTCAACATTGTTAACCAACACAGTAGCTGGCGGACGAGGGATAGCACCGTTGACATAGCCCAGTAGCTTTTGTGGTGCAAGAAAAGACTCAATTTGAGTTTTCCATAACAAGTAGTTGGACTCTGTAAGTTTGAGAGTCACAACTTGAGCAATAGAAAAAGGAGCGGAAGGAAAAATATCAGTAGCCATAGATCGTATTACCGGCGCTCTGATACCATGAAAGCAAAGGGGAAACCCTAGTAAAATAGAGAAGAAAGGCTTTTAACTTTATTTTCCAATCTTATCTCATCTGATTACATAGCATACCTATTTATAGCAAAAGCTAAGGTTACAATGATAGGACTTGATTACTGACAAGTGTCATCATCTGCACATGATGGTAGATCCAAGAGGAGCGAATCTATTCTTCATTTGGATCATAGTGTGAGCTGTATGATGAGCTGGTGCGACTGCTTTGACTGTACGGAGGAGCTGAGCACATTGTTTGTGTGATGATGCTCTGTTACCGTTGGAGTCTAAAGAGGCTTTATCATTTGAATCCTTGATGGGCTTTGGTGGATCAGTGAAGCCCATGTCTCTGTTTTGTTGAGTATCCTTTACAGTAACTACACCAACATGTACAAAACTTTATTGTCACTACAATGCTAACCATTAGGCCAATGACTCTTGGTTCAAGTGTCGTCGCCATTATGATGACGCATGGGTATGCATTAGTGAAGAAATTTTCGTCATCTAGGAATATGAAAATGGTCAACTAGTTGTAGTTTAGTGTTTGAAGGAGCCATGAGAACTGTTTGTCATTATAAACTTTTTTTTTTTTGACATATTTGGATCGACAAAGCCCGATCTATAGTCATTCCCTATTAAGCGGAGTAACGCGATTTAGTGGAATTGAACTCCGGTAGGAAAAGTGGAATCAAATGAACTTAACCACTTGACTAAAGACACCTCCTCCACTATAAACTATATAGAATCCAAGAAAATGAATTTCATAAAGTGAACCAAATTCCAGAAAAGATGTACATGCTAATTCCTTATTATTTCAGGGAATAAAAGTATAATAAAATCTTTACTTTTAGAAATGACGGGTCTGATTGGTAACAAGCTGTTAGCTGTTAGCTGGAGCGGTTAGCTGGAGCTGTTAGCTGTTAGGGAATAGTGCAAAGCTGTACAAAAGAATAAAACACGAAAGCTGTACAAAAAAATAACGCAGATCAAATTTAAAAAATTTACTCTGATTGGAAAAATCATAACGGTACACATAATAAATAATATTAAGAATTTAGAAAGAAAAAAAAATTACATAGAAATGTACTTTAGTATATAATTACATATGAAAATTAAGATTATATAGAATGAACAATATCTTCCGTAACCGTTTCTCAACCGTAACCGTATAAAACGGTTTAAAACCGTAACCGTTAACCGTAAAAATAATTAGTTACAGTTAAAAAATATATTAACCGTAACCGTTAATTAACGGTAAACATATGAAAACCGTTATTTAACTATATGGTTAACCACATAGTTAAAACTTTAAAAATATAGTTGTAACTCCATATAATGCAAAAACAATTATCGAATGTTCAGATTAAGATTTTCAAAAACGTAAATGATACCGCATATGAAAAAAATTTACGTTATAAAAAATGGTCTTTTTCTCAAACAAATATGTTGTACTGTTATTTTGCTCGAAATGAAGAAAATTTGGTTTGTAACATACTTTTTGATTTTATGATAGTATTATAATAAGTTAGTTAACTCGTAAGATTTCGCCTCCGATATTAACCGTATTGTAGTCATCAAATAACTATAACCGTAATTATCCGTAACCGTTGTAACCGTAACTGTAACCATGTTTAACCGTAACCGTTATAACCATATTTAACCGTAACCGTTATAACCGTATTTAATCGTAACCGTATTTAACCATAACCGTATTTAACCGTAACCGTTTTAATTTGTTTTTGTTTTTGTCCAAAAAAAAACTGTTTATGTTATAGTGTACCGCTTTTCATAAAGCTTTTGTGATTGGTAACTGTCAAAGCTGTACAAAGCTGTATAGCTTTAAACTTGGTTACCAATCATAGCCGACATAATCGATGACCCCAAAATAAAGGGAATAAAGGTATAATAAACCTGCATAGCATCTAAACACAAATCAACCATAGACACGTGGCAATCCATGATAGGATAAGCACCAACCCACTCCACCGACGAACGCTATCGCCACTGGAATCAGCGCCACCGGTAGATTCATTCTCCCGGCTAGGCTTTGAAACACCACCGTCTCCGTTCGGATTTCCACCGTACAAATGCTGAATCCCTTCAATATCATCCTTCGCTAACTCCACTTTCCGATCTCCACCAGAAATCGCCGGAAACATAATCGCATCTTCCACCGACGAGTGACCTAACCCTAAAAGATGTCCGATCTCATGAACCGCCACCGATTCAAGATCCACCACCGTCGTTACCGGTAATATCCGACGGCTAATTCCACCATCAGAGATCAACCAATCCTCATCACCGTCTAAATGTAACATCCCCGTAGGAGGAGATGAAGCGTGCGCTAATGTCCCCATAGCTCCATCAAACGGCTCACCATCTCCATGTTCACCGGAGAAAAATCCGATCACTATATCAGCTCCGAGGAGAGACTCAGAGCGCGTGAAATTCAACGGAGTCACCTCCGCCCAACGCGTGAAGGCGCGTGCAAACACGCGTTTCACATCGTCGGTTAAATTGTTCTGCGGCACAAACGCGTAAGTCAGATCTCGTTTCCGTTTCGGCCACCGTGGCTTCCCGGGGAAAAACGAGTACCTCTCCGTCGTACGAAGCTTTCTTCCACCGTTCATCTCAGAAACTCCGTCGATCATATCCGGATTCCCGCATCTCGGTTTGATAATTTGCCGGAGAGTCGACGAATCGAGTTTTCCGGTGACTTTGAGATTGAAATTAGTCTGGTAAGTATTGATTGCGGATTGAAGCACGTCATCGAAATCGTCTGTGCAATTATTGGTTCCGGTGATGTAACCGAAACGGCGAAAGTATTGTTTGAGTTTTGAGAGACCGTTGATATTTTCTCCGATGTGACAACCGGCAAGTTTTGAGAATGTTTCCCATGCGTTTTGTGTTGCGTTTAGGAATTGTAACGGTGGAATTGAAGAGACGTTAGAGTAGAATTTGGCTGAGATTGGATTCACTGTGAAGAAGAAGATGATCGAAATCGTTAGAAGTAGACGAAATCTCATTTTTTATATAATTTTTGGGAAGAAAAAAATCGGAGAAGTTACAGGAAAAATGAAGATGAAGAGTTGAAACGACGTCGGTCCGTCTTATGAAGCTAAATGCTTAGCTCACTTGCTCCATTTTCCACACGGTGTTAATGCTCATACGTGACATGCTTTTGAAAAAACAAAATAATAGAAAAGGCGAAAACAACTTATATTAATTCATTAATGATTTTGAAATTGAGCAGAAATTACATAACATATCATTCTTTCAAAGTTTTTCACAAAAAAAATTGTATAGTTTACTAACAATTTAAATATCAAACTTATAAAAAATAATTCAAATTTCTATTTTGTTACTCGGAGAATAATAATTATTGTATTTATTTTTGATTTTTATAAAATGAAGAATTTGTTTTGTATAATATTTGTTGTTGTTTGTGTTGATTAATAAATCTCGATTGATTGTCTACAGTTTGTTTGTTAGTTGTAAGTTTACGATATTATGTAATCTAATACGTGACGTTTTGTTTTGTTTCAAAATTTTCAAAAAAAAATTAAATTGAACCAAACCACACCTAGATCAATTTCTGTCAAGAATCATGTTTGTTCCATTGTAGGCTTTTTTTTTTTTTGTATTCTAATTTGGCTTATTTTGAGTTTTATTCTATGATTTCATATACTTATTTTTCAGTATCCAAACACTAATCCAATTTTACTAAATGGATTTTGAGTTTTGATTGGAGATTTTGAGACCAAAGGGAAACTGAATTTGTTTTAATGTTGTTAAACCATTTTAAATTCATCCCAGTCTAAATTAAAATTTAGAGATCTCTATTTTTTACTCCAAAATGAATTAAAGTTGGGAAAAAACTCAATTCTAAAATAAAAGTATTTTTTTTGTAGAAATGGATTGAAGATGTTCTTAGTGAAGATCTAATTACTCTTTAATAAATTTTTAATTCAAATTATTAATAAAATAGTATGAGTATTATATTTGGCGAATTTTTAAAGTTCGATATATTCTTTTCTTTTCTCGTAAAAAAATATAGCACTATGGTCGAATATAGCACATTAGCACTATTCCCTTAGTAATTTTTTAATTAAAAAAAGTAATACTAGTAATATATTAGCATTAGCGTTATAGCATCACTCATGTGGCTACTGACTATAGGTTTGGGCCACCGAGAAACCAATACACATCCGTTGACTTTTTGGCTCTTCTGTTGAACCAATGTCTTTGCCCTCAGTCCCCACTCTCGCCATCAGATCCGGACCATCCGGTCATCACTCGATGCCGGTTCTTGGTTTTGGAACCGCTGCTTCTCCGATACCGGAACCAACGATGATGAAAGAGACGGTGATAGAGGCCATCAAGCTTGGTTATCGCCATTTCGACACGTCTCCGAGGTACCAGACGGAGGAGCCAATCGGCGAAGCTTTGGCGGAGGCGGTTTCTCTTGGCTTAGTTCGATCTCGATCTGAATTCTTTATCACTACCAAGCTATGGTGTGCTGATGCTCATGGTGGTCTTGTCGTACCGGCGATCAAACGGAGTTTGAAGTAAGATTTTAGCTTCCTTACTGATTTTAGAAACATGATTTCACATGAGATTAGATTAGAACAGATGCTTCCATAATCTTTGGAGGATCTAAAATGCTGATTATCTTATTGTTAGAGACTTGGTCACATTTGAATACATTTCAATTCCACATCATTAGAATCTAAGGAATTACCCGGATCCAGATAAATGATTACTTGGATCCGGATCCGTTTATACATGTTAATATCCAATTTGGTCAAAATTAGAAAAATTGCTTAAAATAATATTAAATTACAAACGCACAGATACAAAAAAAACATTTAGTCAAAAAAATAAAATAAAAAAATTGTCATATCAAAAAATTACAAATTGATTTCAGAAATATTTTAGATTGTATTCATCAGTGATATTTTGGGTCTGATTGGTAACCAAAAATTGTACAAGTTTTTTAACTGTTAGTTAGAGCTGTAAGCTTTACCGGAATAGTGCAAAACTGTAAGAAAGAGCTGTACAAAAAAAAACTGTTAGTAACGTTTTTTAAAATAATTTTTGTGATTGGTACAAAGTTGTACACCTTTTACCGCTTTGATAATGAATTACTATTCAAAGCCACTAAAAATTACTCCACTTTTCAAAACTCTTTGTGTAAGATTATATAGTGGATCCGCATTTATTAATCTTTAAATCAAATTATTATGGTACAATGGTGGACACCATATTTTCATAGCGGGTCGGATCTTATATAAGATCTCAAATATTTTTGGTTCAACCCTATGTGTATCAATGAACTGTTTCAAGGGTAGGTGTCAATAATGTTTCGTGATTGAATATTATTTTTGGAGTAACAACTTAATGTAAACCATCTATGTAACAAATATGGTTTTGCAGAAACCTTAAACTGGACTATCTTGATCTTTATCTAATTCATTGGCCGGTTAGCTCAAAACCTGGTAAATACAAGTTTCCCATTGATGAAGATGATTTTTTGCCAATGGATTTCGAAGTAGTGTGGTCCGAAATGGAGGAGTGTCAGAGACTCGGGCTTGCGAAGTGTATAGGAGTGAGCAACTTTTCATGTAAGAAGCTTCAACACATCCTCTCTATCGCGAATATCCCGCCTAGTGTCAATCAAGTAAACTCCACTTTTTGTTACTCTTTGATTTATTTTTCAGAAAAAAAATTGAATTTTACACAACAATTCACTTTTTATTTTTGTTTGGTTATGGATGAATGTCAACAAGGTCGAGATGAGTCCAATATGGCAACAAAAAAAACTAAGGGAGCTTTGTAGTTCGAACGACATTGTTGTCACAGCTTATTCAGTTTTAGGATCTAGAGGGGCTTTTTGGGGAACTCCCAAAATTATGGAATCTGACGTTCTCAAAGAAATAGCAGAAGCAAAGGAAAAAACTGTGGCCCAGGTACTTTCAAAAGTTTTTTTAACTGATACCAAACAAGAAAAATACAAAACTTTTGGTGACACTTATATATATCAACATTTGAAGTAAAAATTAAAAGAAAAGAACACTCATAATTAAGAGGAAAATTCTGCTAAAATACATCAATTATTTCTAACAAATTGTAAACCAGATTCAATGTTCCTTTCCTCCATAAATCAGGTTCAATGTTATGGTAATTGTTAAAATTATATGTAATTTATATGGTTTTGATGACCTAACAAAACATTGTATTACATAAATGATTTATATAATTGTACTGTTGGTTCTCTTTTTTTTGTTGGTTGACATTTTAACAAGGTAAACTTATTTGTACCATTGAATTATTCATTTTACAGTTCATTTATTTAGAAACTGTCGAATTACATAATTTTTTATAAGATCGGTTTTTATATCAAACAGTTGAATTATTTACTTTTTTGTGTGACATTGAGCATAAATTTATTTATATTGTTGACTTATATATATATATATGTATATTATATATATTTTGTTTATGTGCTTTGATTAATATTGGTTATCTGCAATATAAATAAAAAAATCCAAAAATATATGAGAGTTGGCTTGTTTAGAAGACAAAATTGTCATTTCTAAATAAAACTATTTTTCAGGTTTTGAATTTTTTTTGGTGTTGTTTACCAATTTCACACAACCTTTACACAAATTATCCATAATTTCAAAGTGGTGTGTTTATGACCATCAATAGTCAGTCATTATCTTGGTAACATGAATCTCCACATAGGCACATAACAAATTTGAAATGTATCATGCAATAGCAAAATCCATGGAGTTTAATATTAAAACTTGACAATTTCGGTTTGGGGACTGCAAGGATTTAAAGCTCATACTTTGGAGTTGTAATTACAGGTGAGCATGAGATGGGCTTATGAACAAGGAGTGAGCATGGTGGTGAAGAGCTTTACCAAAGAGAGATTGCAAGAGAATATGAACATATTTGATTGGTCTTTGACAGAAGAGGAGACACAGAGAATCTCGACAGAGATTCCACAGTTCAGGAACCTCGGCGGAGAGGTTTATATCTCCAAGAAAGGTCCCATAAAATCCGTCGCCGAAATGTGGGACGGGGAGATCTGATCACTTCGTGTGAAAATAGCCTAGTGAAATTGCCCAATCATCTTTAGTCATATTGATTTACTTGTCACTCTCTTTTAATGAATAATGAATAAGTACGATCTCCACCATAAACGATTTATCATATAGACACACCGTAATCAATCAAAGAGAATGTTGGGGCAGTTGCAAAATTAGTCTTGGTTAATTTAATTGTTATAAACTAAGCATTTTCCAATTATCCATAAACAAAATAGCCTCTACTGCTTGTTGTCGCTTGTGCTTTTCTTGTCATGTTTTCTGTTGTAATCGTAATTCTTTTAGTTGTGATTTCGGTCTTCCTGCCTTTCTCATTTCCTCTGTAATCGATGTCTCAAATCTGAGAATAGTCTAAATACTTAACATTGATACCAACAAAAAAAAATTAACCATTGAAACTATCGACTTTTTCTAGACGTTTCTTGAAAGTTTCCCACATGGCGTTCAGGAACTGTAACAGTAGTACGGAGTTGTATTAGAACTTGGCTAAGATTGGTAACACGACAAGAGGAGGAGGCTCACAATACACATTGAAAAATCCTAAATTTGAAATGAGAGAAAGCTAAGTGAATTCGCTCCTTATGAATCAATTTGAAATTACAATCACGATACACATATGGCCTGTTCTTTTTCTTGTCGCGCGATGAACCACCAAAATATTTAACAGCGGGAAGAAATTTTAACGTCACGTTTTCCACAATCTTGTGCTCCAAAACTTCCAAGGAACATGTTGCTATATTGTCCATAGCAACAACATTCCGAATAAAGCCATAAAACACTAATAGTCCAATACCGTTGGATAAATTCAGAGCCACCGGTGACTTGGACCCAATACCGAAATTAGACAAATGATTGGAGGTGCGTTTTACCTCTTGTAGCAGGTTATGGGTCACACGTGACATCACTGACATGCTCCTTTTATTTTCGTTTTGTTTCTTGATGGCAACTCGTTACATCTTTTTTTTTTCTATGCTTGTTTTTGGCGGCCATGGTGGCTAGTGGCTACTAAGTAGTGACTATAAGTTAAGCCAATGAGAAGCGAGATTTTCGTAGCAAACTTTTTTTGACTTTTTGGCGCTTCTTTTCACCAATGTCAGCTCTTACGTTCCCAATCGGATCCGTCCATCACTTGATGCCGGTTCTAGCTCTAGGAACGGCCGCATCTCCTCCACCCGAACCGATAGTGTTGAGAAAAACGGTGTTGGAGGCCATCAAGCTCGGTTATCGTCACTTCGACACGTCTCCGAGGTACCAGACTGAGGAGCCGCTCGGCGAAGCTCTGGCGGAAGCAGTTTCTCTAGGCTTAGTTCAATCTCGATCGGAACTCTTCGTCACTTCTAAGCTATGGTGTGCTGATGCTCATGGTGGCCTTGTTGTACCGGCGATTCAACGGAGTTTGGAGTAAGATTTAAGTTCGATTTTATTTAGAAATGAGATCACATTAGATTTATGGATTACATGAAAGATATATTTAAATACATTTTTGATTCTAGATGATTAAACTCGAATATGTACCTAGGGGTGTGCATGGAATGGATACTCTAAAATTTCATAATATTCGAATTTGGATCCGTTGATAACCTTTGTATCCAAACTTACGAAAATTTATTATAGGAACTAAAACATTATTGTAAAATAAATAACAAACTAAAACATTAAATATATAAAACAAATGAAATAAAAAAATATCATCTAAATTTTAAATTTTATATTCATGAAGATTTCAGGATCTTTAAAAATAAGCTAAATGGTAGCTGCCTGGCGGACCACTATACATGGGCATTTACATATAAATTATACGGTGTATTTTGTAAAAAAGAAAAAATGTTATGATGAAATTGATGTAAGAGAAATTTGATATGGATACGAGATAGATAAATAATTATAAATAAGAAATTTTTAATAGTTTTAACTCAAAAATGAAATGACGTAGCGGAAATATTGTTTCAAGTTACAAAATAAAAACTATATCAATTCCCAAATGTAGTGATAAATAATCTATTTACAAAATGAAAAAAAAAAAAAAAGATGTCGTCACATCGTATATGCATGCTTGGGCCCTATTTTAGAACAATGCTTAATTTTAATCATCATTTTCATATCATGTATTGTACAACTCTTAAACTGGACTATCTCGATCTCTACCTAATTCATTGGCCGGTTAGCTCGAAACCTGGAAAATACAAGTTTCCTATTGAAGAAGATGATTTTTTGCCAATGGATTATGAAGCAGTTTGGTCTGAGATGGAAGAGTGTCAGAGACTCGGAGTTGCAAAGTGTATAGGAGTAAGCAACTTCTCGTGCAAGGAGCTCCAACACATCCTCTCTGTTGCCAAAATCCCACCTAGTGTCAATCAAGTAAATCTACTTTCTCTCTTGTTTAACTTATCAATAATAAGTTCAACTATTTATGCTAGAATAAATTGGATATGTAAAATAATTTGATATATTTGTTTGTGAATAATATGAAAAAGGTGGAGATGAGTCCAGTCTGGCAACAGAGAAAACTGAGGGAACTTTGTAAGTCTAAAGGCATTGTTGTGACAGCTTATTCGGTGTTGGGGTCGAGAGGAGCTTTTTGGGGAACTCACAAAATCATGGAGTCTAATGTTCTCAAAGAAATTGCCGAGGCTAAGGGAAAAACAGTAGCACAGGTACTTTCCAAAGAAATTTTAAAAATTATTGACGAAAATATTTTTAACTTTTTGTTAATATTTACGAAAACGGGTGATCTATTCTTTTAAGTTGTTTGGAGAATATAGATCACCCGTTTATATTGTACATTCACTCACTTACCTAAACGGGTGATCTATCGTAAATGTTGTTTTATTTTTAGTAATTTGACGTATATGTTATGCATTAGCTGAATCTGTAGAGTCCAAATGTTAGAACATGAGTACATTTTGGGGAATTCAAGTATTTAAAGCTCATTTCTAGAGTTGTATTGACTGTTGACAGGTGAGTATGAGATGGGCTTATGAGGAAGGAGTGAGCATGGTGGTGAAGAGCTTTAAGAAAGAGAGATTGGAAGAGAATCTGAAGATATTTGATTGGTCTTTGACAGAGGAGGAGAAACAGAGAATCTCGACGGAGATTTCTCAGAGCAGGATCGTTGACGGAGAGGTTTATATCTCAGAGAAAGGTCCTATAAAATCTGTCGCCGAGATGTGGGACGGTGAGATCTGATATAACTTCATGTGAATAAAGGGGCTGTTGTAAAATAATGTCTTGATTATTTAGTTTGTAAAGTAGCATTTTCAATTAATAACCTTCATAAATGTTTTCTTTTGCTCCTAATTTTGTGAATATATATGCAAGTCTTTTAGTTTGTAAATTAGCATTTTCATTTAAGTTTTGTGTTTTAAATGTTTCTCTTTTTTTTTCTCCTCCTTCTAGACTGTTTTTTAAAAAGATATTTCAGCTTCTTTCAAAGAATAGTAAATGTGAGAATCAAAAAGACTAATTTTTGTTTTAAGTGTTGTGGTTTTGTTCATCATCATTTAGCTTTTACGATAATCTAAAGGTTTGTATTTATAGGTGGAGAAAGAACCTAGCTAGTTCAGTAGTTCTGAATTAGTGCTTCTTTAAGATTAATCTCAACCGCCTATCAAAATATAAATGAAAAAATCAAAATCAATTTCTGAACTTAGTAAATGTGTAAAAAAAAAAAGCATAGGAAATGTGAGAATCAAAATGAAGAATTTTCACATTAATCAGTAACATACCCCTAGTTATGTGTTTAGTTGGTAATCCAACTATATCCATTTAATTGTTACCTATCACAAAAGTAAGAAGAAGCAAAAGCGGTACTTCTATTTAATTCTTAACAGACACCTATAAAAAGGATTTGATATAGAGAATAACAAAGAAAATGTAAAACAAAGTAGAGAGGAAGAAGCAATATATCTTCTCTCTTTTCATTTCCTACTCTTTTCTCACTATGTCTAAAGACGGTGGCGTTTCTTGTCTACGAAGATCAGAGATGATCGGTATAGGAATCGGAGAACTTGAATCTCCACCGTTAGATTCTGATCAAGTCCACGTTCTCGCCGTTGATGACAGTCTCGTTGATCGAATCGTCATTGAAAGATTGCTTCGAATCACCTCCTGCAAAGGTTTGTTCCTCTCTCCTCTTAGTAGGAAAAAATTTCAAAAAAAAAAAAGCCTTATTCTTCCGCGGTGATTCAATGCAGTCACGGCAGTTGATAGCGGTTGGCGTGCTCTCGAATTCTTAGGATTAGACGACAAGAAAGCCGCCGTCGAATTCGATGTAATCTCTCAAAATTCTGTTTAAAACATTTAAGACCATATTAGAGATTCTAGATTTTTAATCTTGATCTTGATTTTTGCCAGAGATTGAAGGTTGATTTGATCATCACTGATTACTGTATGCCTGGAATGACTGGATACGAGCTTTTGAAGAAGATTAAGGTTCTTAATTTTCCCGCCATAAAAAAAAATCTGTTAATTTTTTTTTTTTGTCAATTCTTGATCTTTTTCTGAAACAGGAATCAACAAGTTTTAAGGAAGTTCCAGTTGTAATTATGTCGTCGGAGAATGTAATCACTCGTATCGACAGGTGAAATCTTTAGCCGGATTTTTTTTTTTTTTCCGATTTTGGTGATCAGAAATTAATCAATAAATCTGTTGTAGATGTCTTGAAGAAGGTGCGGAGGATTTTTTACTAAAACCGGTGAAACTCGCCGACGTGAAACGTCTGAAGAATTACTTGACTAAAGACGTTAAAGTTGCCGCCGACGGAAACAAACGGAAGCTGACTACTCCTCCTCCTCCTCCGCCGCCGCCGCTCTCATCCACATCCTCGATGGAATCGTCTGATTCTACTGTGGAATCGCTTCTCTCTATGGTTGTCGATGATGATTCGTTGACATTGTCGCCGGAGTCTATAGCGTCGCCGGTGGATTCGCCGTTAAGACGGCGGGAGATGAAGAGTCCCGGTTTAGATTAAGGACGATCTCCGTTAACTTTTTACTTTTGACGGTTTTATTGACTGCAACGTTGACTTGACGCCGTCAGTTTTTTAGATCTCTCTTTTATTTCGTTGCACGTGGGGAATCATTTATTTTACTCAAGGAAAGCTTTTTTAATTTCTTGTATTTATTTAATACTTATTTTAATTATATATATTTCGGTAATTTCTAAATTAAATAATGTTATATTTCTTTAATCAATTGGTAATCAAATAATGTGTGGTAATAATACCTCTGTTTCTAGGTGTATTCATATCGTTTGCTAATCACGTTTGAGATTATGCCAGCGATTAACGTTTATTTAGTATCCAATAATGTAAGACTTGGAGATACTTTTCTTTAATCTAGTCTTTCATAGTAAACTACTAAACTCAAATCCTGTATTGTTATTATTTAAAAAAATTTTACTCTCAAATATTCTGCATGGCTTATATAATTTTTTTTTTTTTGGCTTCTATAAATGTACTCCTAATTGTATTATGATAACGGTCTATTAGTGAAGAGTCCGGGGTTAATTGGTTACCACTTTTATGGTTATGGCTTCTAAATGATAAACGATGCTTTGAACAAAAAAAGAGCAGCTAGACTTTGAAAATTTTAAGAGCACTCTTATTATCAATGTCACAATGTGTTAAAGTCTGATTAGACAAAACAAAACTTTAAATTAAAGTAAAAGTCTCTACAATCCTAACAATCTATTCTCCAATCGGGCTACACAAAATAGTACTAGTATAAATCATTCACAAACTACAAATACTATTGCAATTCGATCGGTTTTTAACGGTTACACATTTAAAAAAATAAAAACTGACAACTTATTTTGAACATGTGGTCTTTTGGTGGCTACGACCACAAATTTGACATGTCGCTGAACCATGGCCATGTGGTCACGCATGGCTACGAATTGGAAATGACAACGATTAACGTTCTCACTCGAATTGGTTAATATATTTATGTCCATATATATGAAAACGATGTATGTACTATGTAGCATATGTACTTGTATATGTGCAAGTAAAATAGGATGAAGAAAACATATAATCATGGTGATATGTTATATATTTTCTTTTGTGTATTTATTATTTCTTGGTGAGATATTTCCTTTATTTGTTTTTTAGTTAGGTTTATGGAGAAAAGAAGTGTTGTCCAAATACATATAATTATGAGGATTCATATCTAAACCGAGGTTTATTAAAAACATTAAGTATACATTTTAGCTCCTAATCACACATACTTATATCTTTGATTCACACCACGACCACAATATCAATATCTACTTATATATAAAGATGAAGTATAGTACTTTGAACTTTCTTTAGAATGAAGAATCAAATCGAATAATATAATAACGTACGGCATTATTTTATTAGCTAGCAAGACCCTCCTTACATTGCCCATTGGAACTTGGAAGGAGGCACTGAATATTAAAGAAAATTGAGAGGCAAATGCAATGAATCAAAAACAAATAATCATTGTAGACAACAGAATCAGCTCAAAGATACTCCCCACGTTTGGGGGTACTAAACATGTGATTATTCAACTTTTATCTTCTTCCCATTTTGATTTTCTATTTTTGTCCCCTTAAGGTAAGGCCAATTATTCTTCTACAATTGTTTAATTGGTTTTCTATGCAGAACATGCGAAAAGAACAGTGAATCACATTTTGTAACAACTTGTAAAAGTTCTTTAAACGAGATTTATGCAAAGCTTCTCTTTATTATTTAGAATGTCGCAAATGATGCTTTCAAAGTTCAATACAAAATTTCCCAACTTTTTGGATTCTTACTTTTCTTGTTTTGGATTTTGAGTTTTGACTGAAAACACACAAAAATGTGGTATGTTCCACTTGCGTTTGATATTTCCATTCAACTTTTTCTTTGTTCAATTTGTGCTTTTTAGATTTTTTTTTTAGTTTTTCTTATTGCACATAGCATGATAGTGATTTGTTTGAACGTACATAAACGAGAACAAAACAAATAACACGGCCTGTTTAGTTAATCTAAGTGTGATTTCACTTTTCATTTTATCTAAATCAAAATTTTGGTTATAAATGTTTATAATAAACCATAACATATAGTCTAACAGTTTGTATAAGTATTGTCGATGTATCACCATCAAAGTTCAAAAAACCCAATGCATGTTCTGAAAATTGCTGGAGTCACTCTTAGTTTCGATATTTTATGATTGTATCCATATTTTAATTTATAGCTATATAATTCTGTTAGTATATATTGTTATGTATGTAAGAAGAATATCTACAAGGTATTTATAAGATATATTTAAAAGATAGAATAAAGGTTCTTCCTTTTTTATGTGGTATTGAATTGCCATTGCAGGTCTGCATTTTTTTATTTTGAGAATGCTTTAAAGACTATGTTCATTGGTTTCATCAGGTTTGGAAAAAAATGAGTACAAAAAAACTATACTTCCCTTCAAAACTGTACACACTAGGCACATGGATAGATACATTGACAAGTGTATCAAAGTTTTCTTCTAAGAAAGATGTCTTGAAGGTAGTCAACAGCTCCGTCTTAATAATGGAGTCTTTGGCAAATAGTTTTTAAGAATTCTTTTGAAATTAATAGTAGACCCATGACATTTGCCTAAACTGCCATGGGGTAGAGACGTGTGCAGTAGTCAGGAATGCACTAAAGTCTCATGAGTACAAGAAATTGAAGGAATTATTCTTGTGTCTGATTATTGACTTTGTGAAACGCAAAGGAACCATTTTTTAAGCCATTTCGTACATCATCTACTCCAAAGAAGGATACAGTCTAACAACGAAGAATTATGGTTTGTATTCGCTGACCAGCCTCTGCGATTCTCTCTGAAAAAGTTTAGCATAACAACGAGACTTCCCTTATTATAGCATACCAAATTTTAGACTGAAAACACAAAAAATGTATATGATCCACTTGCGTTTGATAGATTAAACATCTATTCTCATTAATTTTTTTTGTTTTTTTAATTTCTGTTTTTTAAGATACTTTTGTAAAGTTCTGATTGCGCCAAAGGCCGGCCCAAACCTAAAGCCCATCAAACAAGTGCTTTAGACAGCAAAATAAATTTTAAGTTTTGGGGCATCAATTATAAAATTGTCTAGTGGTACAGTGGTATTTGTCTTCTCATAAGCTCGAATGTGGCGAGTTTGAATCCGGATCTATGCAAATTTTAGAATTTTTTGTTTTTCCTTTAGTAAAATGGGCATCAAATTTTAGTAGGCTTTAAGCATCACAAAATGTTGGGTCGGCTATGCATATCATGATAGAGTAAGTGATTTGTTTGAGTGTACACAGAACAATAACAAGACGTGTTTAGTCATGTTTTACGTGTGATTTTCACTTTTCATGATAAACCATAACATATAATCTAACACTTTGTATTAGTGTCATCATGTATCACCATCCGAGTTCAAACTGGTTGTCTGGTTGAATGCATGTTTTTTACATTAAAAATGCTCTCTAATAAATGGTTTACCTATCTGGCAATTGTTTCAGTGTTCCGGTGTTTAAAACTTGTAATCAGTGTGAACTGCAATTTGAAGAAATGTCACCGGAAGAGTTGAAAGAAGTTGTAATATCTACAAGTGATGATGATTAAAGGACTTATCTTTCAATCTTTGCATAAGAAAAGTTAAAGATAAATAACGTTTTAAACAATGAAAGCAACGGACCTTTTTGTATAAACATCACATACACTTATTGTTTGATAGGCCCATCAAGGCACAATATTTGTAAGGTGTCTAATTTTGTGGGTCTAGTAGACATACATCTACTTTTGTCTAGGCCCACTAATTCACAACATACTTTTAGAGCATGATTATCAAGAGTCTCTTAATGTTGGCTCTTAGGAGTATTTAAGTATTAAATTTGTAAAAGTTATAGTTAAGAGATTGTATTTTTGTTTTAAGATTTATGTGTCTCCAATGGTAGGCTCTTAACATGTGGTTCTTAGAAGAAAAAAATTAATATAAAAATTAATTTTGTAATTTTAGAAAACTTAATAATTGTTGCAAATTAAAAAATTTAAAACATACATGAGATACAATTTATAACATACATAACATAAAACACAAATGTTTTAAACTTGATTTCTAGAAAATTTTGTCTATATATGCTCGACCAAATCCTTCTTCAATTGTTGATGCATATATAGCTCGATCACGAAGTCGAGTTCTAGTGACCATTACGAAGTTGAATTTTTGGATTAAGTAGCAAAAATGAAATTTGGGATTAAGTAGACAATATAAAACTTTTTGGATGAAGTAGAAAAGATTTGAATGTTTGGATTAAGTAGAAAAGATCAATTTTCTGATGAGTATAAACGTGTGTGGTATGAGTTTGTGAGAACAAGTGAATAAGTGACAAGAGTCAAAATCTATTAAAAGAGTTTTTGGAATCCCAAACATCATCCAAGAGTTGGGATCAAAGCTCACAAAAAAACACAAATAATAGATTTCAACAAAATCAATCCCCACAATGTATCATGAGAAATGCAGAGATGGCATCACGTTCATTCTTATCTTTGACGTCAAGATACGTATCATGAATTCTTCTATCTTTCTTCCATACCATGTCTCTCAGTAAGTCAACATCGTTGCTTGCTATTTTCTTTTCAAGCAGCCATCCATCAACTGTTAAAAGTAACGACTCCAATAACCCCAAGGCATATCATTCACCGGTAATTTTTAACACTGTCAAGTTCTGACTTAAGCGACTGAAAAATGATTTACAACAATGATCAAAAGAAGGCCTAATTTCAGAAGTGGAGAGTCACAATATACCACTAACACAAATGAAACCCATACCAAAGCTTTTACAACCTCAGGCACAATTATATTACTTAAATTCTGCCCATCATTATGCCCAATATCAACCGTGGCATGAACATTCTCCTCCTTCTTCTTTGCAGGTTTATTTTTGCGCCGAGTTAAGAATGGCAGCCTTTTCCTGGAGTGTTCAGCTTTCTTTGTTTCCCCAAGTACTAGTTTCTTTTCTTCTAAAGCTCCCTGTCTCCACAACAAACATTTAAACTAGTGTATACACAAATTTTGATCTTAGCACTAGTGCTAGTAGGAACAAAAATATACCAGGGATTGAACAATTTGTGACGAACGTTTGCATTTTCTTGGACAGTTTGCACAAGGTCAAACTTTGCTTTGGAAATCTGTAGAGAGAAATACACATGTCATGAGCAGAAAACGTCTCCCAAATTCAAGCATATGCAGATCACCTAATTGACAAACGGGATTTGTTTCTTCACCAACTCGATCAAGGTAACTTCATAATAAATTAAATCACATAATCCAATTTAGTTTCATGAAGGAGCTTGACACCATATCATGTGGTTCCTTACCTCGTTATCCATCTGCTCATTATTTAGTGCCAAATTCAGTTCTTCAATGTTTACTTCTACCTCTTGGAAAAAAGGTTAATCCCTTGCAAATTGCAAAGGCTTCATCAAATTCTCCAATCTCTGCATTCAACTGCATGTATAGCTTTTAGAAAAAAGAGCACTTGATTCAAAGCTGCAAAATTTACAATGAAATTGAAAAAGATAACGACCCAGATAACGATTTCCAGATTCAATTGAGAAAGACGAAGAATTGAGGAAAAAGTCGTCGGAGTAAGGATTACCTGAGAAGCGAATCGGATTGAGAAGAGCCGCCATCCGTTGAGATGATGAAGATGTCATCCTCCGATCACCGACTTAAACAATCAACGGAGGAGACGAAGATTTGAGACTGAGAAGATTTCTCTTTGGTTTCTCAGTCACAGAGAAAAGAGAGAGAGAGAGAAAAACGCGAAACAATTTTTTTCCTTCCTCGTGTTTTACCAAGCCCCATTCTGTGAACGACACCTGTCCGTCTCTTAGGTGAATAAACATTCCTTAACTAAGGAACGTTCCTTAAGTTTAACTCTCATTTTCCATTTAATTTTAATTATATAATCTCTAAGATTTATGTTAAGGAACTACCGTTAATGATGCTCTTATAATTCTCAAATCTCGAGCTGAGTGGTCGATACTTTGTTTGTTTCTTTGTGTGTCAAAAGACCTTTTTTTTTTTTTTTTTCCGTCTGTGTCAAAGACTTAAACATTAAGTTTTTGTGTTATTTCTTCAATTTTTCTAGAGGTAAAAGAAGAGATTCAGACAACACAATCAAGAAAATATTACTAAAGACGTAATAGATGAATTATCATATCTCGTCTGAATCTTAGATTAATGTTTTGTGAAGTACAAGTTATCAAAGTTCTTTGCTGGTGTTATGTCCACGCAGGCCCGGCCCGCGACAAATACCCAAGATACCAATGTATTGGATCTCTAAATTTTTAAAGATTTTTAGTACTAAAATTAGGCCTCAAGAAAAAAAAATTATTGCAAAAAGAGGCCTCATTTTTCTAAAATTTTAAGATTTAGTCTCAAATTTTAAATTTTATCTATTTTTTTGCAAAAATAGGCGCCATTTTTCTGAAAATTTAAGATTTGGTCCCATATTTAATTTTTTTTATAAAATCCATCAAAAAAAAATTTAATCTGTATTGGGCCTCATATATAAGGGCCGGGCCTGTGTCCACGTATCGTTTCGTATTTCACCTTTTTCCACAGCCGAAAATCACACCCAAAAGAATGACATTCATTTCATGTTTTCTTTGTTAAAGTAGCACTAGCTAGCATATTATAGATTTAATGGACGTTATACAAATTTGTATATTGTTTATAATATGGCGACTGAGGAGGCTGAGGATGAAAAGACTGTCCCTAGTTGGTCGACGACCAAATTTATTTTACATTATTATGTCGTTGATCAAATTATACATAACATCCATTAAAGTTGTTCATGCATGGATATTATTTACAGAAATGTACATGTGTATATCAATTTGAACATATAGTATTACATTACTTGTCAGTTGTCACATAGAAATATAGAATAGTGACATTTTACACGTATTGATATGAAGCTACTGTAGCACAACTAATCCATAAATTTTACCATTTTCTTACACGTGAGCGTCTTAATCAACTAAGCTATCTGAGAGACGAGTACATTTAATATTTTACTAACAACATTCCAAAACTGGCTATATTCTTAAACATAATTATCAAAATTTTGATGTCATCCATTAAATACACCCTTTAAAAATAAGGATCATCGCTTCAGTGTCAAATACTAAAGATTTCGAATTTTTTTACAAAAAAAAGTATCGAGAAGTCTTCTTCGACTTTATAACAGATGAAGATGGGACCAAATAGTTTTTAATAACTCTACTTCTCAACTACCGAGAAGCAACAACGATTCACAAAAGTCAAACATTCCAAAATTACATTTACACTTCAACTTCTCTCTTCCAGATTATTTTCGGTTTCTTCTAGAATATCCACATTACCAAAACTATTACTATTCTGATTTCTCAAGCACAAAATTGCAAAAAGGTCACTTGGTTAGTAGGTTTGATGAGCGTTCGGGTATCTATTAGGGTTTGGTTCAAGTTTTTAGGGTTTTCATCTCTAAAACCCGTTCGGATATTTTATATGTTTGGGTCGGATTTGGATTCGGTTCAGTTTCAGATATCCGAGGTACCAAAAATAATTAAGATTTTTGAATTTATAGTTATATTTCGAATTCAGTTAAAACTGCCTAAAAATATCTAAAACTATTCATAATTATTCGAATTACTCGATAACTCCGATAAAAAAACTCAAACTCTTTTAAATATATCTGAATTAACCGAAAATATCGGTAATAAGACTATCCAAACTATATAAAATACTCAATCTATGAAATACCATAAAACTAGGTAAAAAGAGTTAATTTGCTAGTTAGGTTCGAGTTTTTTTGGATATCCGTTTAGATTCGGGTTTCTAAACTCCGTTCGAATATTTTGAGCTGGATTCGGTTCAGATCTTCGGATCCAAATATTTTGTCCAACCCTAAATAGTTAGAACACTATTAAAAAAAAATATATTGACATGTTTCAAAGATGTATGAATTTTTTAACCAAAAAAATGTATGAATGTATAACTTACTTTTAACATAAATCATTACATTTTGCATTCATATTAACGGAGAAGACATAAAAGTCAACACGTAGCCGAAGATTTAGATCAACGAAGTCAAACATTAAGACATCTTCCATTCCAAATTCGGACACTAACCCCCAAAATTCACGACCTAGTCAACGCGTCCACCTTAACGAAATGACAAAACAACCCTTGCTTAGACCTATGAAAATGCCGAGTAAACGGAGGTTGTTCTCGTAACATCAGCCACGCTTTTGACATTGGACCATATCTCATGTAAAAAAAAGCTTAATTTTTATTTTGTTGCTTTACCAAAAAAAATCATAAAAATCATAAAAATCAAATCATTAATGTGTTAAATCATTAATGGTTGTCATGTTCATCAAAAATCATTCCCAACACATTTCTTCGTTGTCCAAAACCTTCTGATTTCGCCGCGTGAAATCTTATCTCCGTCAACGCCGATAAAGTCTCCGGTAAAGAAACCACCGCGATGTCTTTTCTTTTCCGTAAGAACGGTAGTAGTTCACGGAGGAAGATCAAAGAAAAACTTCGTGGTCGGCACTCAGATCGCGGTGGAAAAAGAGAAGAAGACGAGAGAGTCTACGGCGGCTCCGGCTCCGATTCGTTACCACCACCACCGTCTCCTTGGGGCTTTCTCTTCCCGGATGATTTTGTTCGAATTGACGGAAATCTCAAAGCTGTTATTGTAGATGATGAAGGATTAGATGTGGTTTACTGGAAAAAGCTTCTAGAGTTGGAAAATAGCGGGAAAATTAGAAAAAACCCTAAACCTAGAAGAAGAGGAGACAAATCCGGTGACGGATTTAGAAGAACTGGAGTAGATCAAGACGACGACGATGATGATGGAGATAGAGACGAATCTATCGAAGAGGCGTTTTCGTTTCATACGAAAAAATCCCAATCTCCTTCAGGTGGTGAAATTAGAGATCAGAGTAATAATGGTGGTGGTGGTGGAGGTGGAGGTGGAGGTGGAGGTGGAGGTGGAGGTGGAGGAGGAGGAAGATATTATACTTCTTCTTCTGGTTCACCGTCACGACCTTCTTCTTCTTCTACATCTGCTGCTTCGCCGTCGCGAACTTCTTATGCTACAAGTGCTGGTAGTGATTATGGTGGTGTTGGGAAACAATCTCAATCTAAATTTCAAGCTCCTGGCGGCGGTTCATTTCCTTCTTCTCCGTCGCAGATCCATAGTGGTGGTGGTGGCCGTTCACCGCCACTTCCGTTTCCTCCGGGGCAATTCACGGGGGTAAATGCGTCATTTTCTACATCGACACCGCTTCCTCCGGGTCAATACACGGGGGTAAATGCGTCATTGTCTGAATCGACACCGTTACCTCCGGGTCAATACACGGCGGTAAATGCTTCATTGTATACATCGACAACGTCTGTTCAGCTTCCTCCGGGTCAATACACGGCCGTAAATGCGTCATTGTCTACATCTGCACCGTCTGTTCAGCTTCCTCCGGGTCAATACATGGCGGTAAATGCGTCATTGTCTACATCGACACCGTCTGTTCTGCTTCCTCCGGGTCAATACATGGCGGTAAATGCGCCATTGTCTGCATTGACACCGGGTCAATTCACCACAGCAAATGCTCTACCGCAACTGCCTGTTCCAGCAAACCAAACTTCACCACCACCACCACCTCCGGCATCTGCTGGGGCACCACCTCCACCTCCACCGCCTAAAAAAGGACCTGCTGCGCCACCACCACCTCCTCCACCAGGTAAGAAAGGAGCTGGACCGCCACCACCGCCTCCAATGTCGAAGAAGGGCCCACCTAAACCGCCTGGTAATACTAAAGGTCCGACAAAGTCAGGTGAGACTTCATTGGCCGTAGGCAAAGCTGAGGATCCGACGCAGCCAAAGCTCAAGCCTTTACATTGGGATAAGATGAACCCTGATGCGAGTCGTTCTATGGTGTGGCACCGGATTGATGGTGGCTCCTTCAAGTAAGTATATGGTTACATTTCACTAGAGTCTATATAATGTGGAATGTGATATTCTTAAGTACTGAATGATTTTGAGTTCTTATGCCTTTTATATTTGTTTCTTGGGTAGCTTTGATGGTGATCTTATGGAGGCTCTGTTTGGATACGTTGCTCGAAAACCAAGTGAATCAAACAGTGTACCACAGAATCAGAATGTCTCAAACAGTGTTCCGCAGAATCAGACTTATATCCTCGATCCTCGGAAATCTCAGAACAAAGCAATTGTGCTTAAATCTTTGGGGATGACTAAGGAGGAGATCATTGACTTGTTAACAGAAGGCCATGATGCTGAGTCTGATACCCTTGAGAAGCTTGCAGGAATAGCTCCAACGCCAGAAGAACAGGCAGAAATCTTAGATTTCGATGGTGAACCAAAGACATTGGCTTATGCAGACTCTCTACTGTTTCACATCTTACGGACAGTTCCTTCTGCGTTTAACCGGTTCAACGTCATGCTCTTCAAGATTAACTACGGCTCTGAGGTTGTTCAACAAAAGGGATCTTTACAAACACTTGAGTCCGCGTGCAACGAGCTCCGTGCTCGCGGGCTATTCATGAAGCTGTTAGAAGCAATCTTGAAAGCAGGTAATAGAATGAACGCTGGAACCGCTCGAGGAAATGCTCAGGCTTTCAATCTGACAGCTCTAAGAAAATTGTCTGATGTGAAGAGTGTTGATGGGAAAACTACTTTACTTCATTTTGTTGTTGAAGAAGTTGTAAGGTCTGAGGGAAAGCGAGCTGCGATGAATAAGAACATGATGTCTAATGATAATGCCAGTGGCGAGAATGCAGATGTATCTAGAGAAGAACAAGAGATTGAATTTATTAAGCAGGGTTTACCCATTATAGGTGGCCTAAGTTCAGAGTTCACTAATGTGAAGAAAGCGGCTGGAATCGATTATGACTCGTTTGTAGCCACGACCTTGGCTTTAGGCACCCGAGTCAAAGAAACGAAACGCCTTTTAGACCAAAGCAAAGGGAAGGAAGATGGATGCTTGACAAAGCTGAGATCTTTCTTTGAATCTGCAGAGGAAGAACTGAAAGTTATTACCGAGGAACAGCTGAGGATAATGGAGTTAGTGAAGAAAACCACAAATTATTACCAAGCTGGAGCATTAAAAGAGAGGAACCTGTTTCAGCTTTTTGTTATAATCCGTGATTTCTTAGGGATGGTTGATAATGCCTGTAGTGAGATCGCAAGGAATCAACGGAAACAACAACAACAACGACCTGCAACAACAGTAGCAGCAGGAGCATCAAGTTCAACAGCAGAAACTCCGAGCGTTGCTGCTGCACCGCAAAGGAATGCAGTTAGATTTCCAATTCTACCTCCAAATTTCATGTCAGAGAGTTCAAGGTACAGTTCATCAAGTGAGTCAGACTCAGAATCTTGATATAACCAAGAAAAAAAAGAAGATCATTTACTTTTGTTATTATGTATATAGAATGATAGGTGAGCTTGTTGGTAAAAAATTCTTTAGGTTCTTTTAATTTTTACTTGTTCTGTTGATTTTGTTTTGGGTTCATGGATTAGTTAATCCAAAGTTGAATTTATTTATTTTTTTTTGGAAAGACGAAGAATACAAACAGAAAAAACCATTAACATTGGTCTTTGTTTGTAATTTATTTTGTTATATTTGAAGTGCAGCAAAAAAGACATCAACTCTCAATTGCTTGAATATTAAACACAAGACTCTATTTAAAGCACAATTGCAAAATGCAGATACAACGACAAAAGCTTCACAAGAATAACATGTTTCTCCTTATGTATATAAAGAAAGATACAGAGAGATTAAAACTCAGAAGGGGAGAGACAGAGAGAGAGAGAGAGAGAGAGAGAGAGTATACAATAAGATCTTTATTCATAGCTTCCTCTATCAGCCAACTGTCTCATGACACGTGGCAGTTTAACGAACAAGAGCTTCATGATCATGGAAGCGAAGCTTTGACTTCTTTTCTGTCAGGTCCAAATGACTGCCAACAGAAAACAAAAGGGTCAATAAGGAAGATTAACTATAGTTTAAGGGGCGTGTTGCAAAATGCAAATGGCAGAATTTCTAAAATTAGTAAAGTACCTCGGTGCCAAATCCCTTCACATACACATTGGTAAAAAGCTCAGAAGGCTCTGGCATTGGGCAATCCTAAAACGGTACAAAGATTTGAGCATAAGGGTCTCTTTACAGAGTTTATGCCTTGAAAGTAGAAATGTAACTGTTGTTTTACCTTAGCTTTGGCAATGGCGTCATCTACTTCTTTCCTAATTTCCTTCTCCATATCCTTAAGCTCTTTCTCGGTTGCTAAGTCATGAGATAGTACCAGCTTTTTAATTCTCTCAATTGGATCCCGTTCCTGAGTCATATAGAGTAGCACATAAATGTTTTGAGATTAACAATAACCGAGTTCTCGACCAAGAAATAGTTTGTTCAGGTAAAGAGACTAACGAACCTGCCTCACACCAGATATCTCATCTCGTGTACGGTATGTGCTCCCAGGATCAGACATGGAGTGACCGTGGTACCTGTATGTGTCCATCTCAAGAATCTGTATACAAGAAATCATGTTTCAATGGTTCTGTAATTTCTATGATAGGAAAAGAAGAAACACCAGGAAATAAATTGGAACCAAAGCTACTTCTTTGATGTAAATTGATAGAGTGTAATTTCTACTGCATATAAAAAGTTATAAACAGCACAGAAAAAACCAGCCACCCCTTCAATATTCAGCTGCTGGAATGCAGTGTCCAAAAATAGCAACTGAAGGGAAATAAATAGCAACTAAAAAATGCAACAAGAAAGAAAAACACTTCGAGTCCGACAGGATAGCTAGATACTATTCATAGCAAATTCTCAAATGCGCCGAGTCATGACCAAAGGGGGAAAAAAACATAACATATGATAATACTAAAATACAAACTTACTATTGGTCCCTTCTCCAACGCATGCTGCTTAGCAAATTTGCAAGCTTGTTTGACAGCAAATGCATCCATACCATCTACCTGTTTATCCATACAAACCACCAACCGGTCAAACTCGAAAGGAACTTGATAACTTAATGCAGCTTACAAGAAACCCAATCAGAACAAGATAAATGATGCACCATGGCTCTGTCAACGATACAGGATTCATGACATCATTATCCATAAGACATTCACATACCATCTCTAAACTGAAAGAGTTATAAATAAAAGCTGTGTAGTAGCAAGTTACTTATACTTGCATTCTACTTGTTACTATATGGAAACTAAGAAACTTCTATCATTCAGGAAATGACACTAATTCATCTAGCCAATCAAAACTTCCCTTTCTAATTTTAACAAGCCTCACGCATCAATCCTAGTTACAAATAAGATTCAAAAGCTGACCTTGAGTCCAGGAACATAATCACCACGCTTGTAGTAAGATGGACTCTTAGAGGCTCTCCATTCAGCAGTTCCCATTCCATCTACACAAATCAAATCCAATCAGATACTCCTACCACATGAGAAACCTAAAAACAAAGAAAGAATAAGCAAAAAATGCTTACAGTGATTGTTCTCGCAGACCAAAATAGCAGGTAGATCCCAAAGAGCAGATATATTCAAAGCTTCAAACAACTGTCCTTGATTCGCAGCACCATCACCATACAAAGCAAATGTCACAGCCTCTTCCTTATTATACTTCTGAGCAAAAGCAATACCACAACCTAATGGAACTTGAGCACCAACAATCCCATGACCACCGTAAAACGACGATTCCTTCTTATAGAAATGCATAGATCCACCTTTCCCTTTAGAACAACCAGCTTGTCTTCCCATAAGCTCTGAGAAAATCTCATGAAGCGAACCACCACGACCTAAGAAAATACAGTGATCACGATAAGCAGTAATAATCGCGTCTTTCTTTGTAATCGCAGCTTCCATGCCTATAGCTACAGCTTCTTGGCCGTCGTAGAGATGACAAAACCCTCGGATTAGCTTCGCTTTGTAAAGCGAATCGGCTGCGATTTCCATACGTCGCATCAACGCCATGGTTCTGTAGAAATCGAGAAGCTCTTGACTCGATGATTCGACGGAGCGTGACGGTGGATCACATAAGTGAGCTGTGAAAGGAAGCGAAGTCTCGATTGTGATCGGAGTTGTGTCCGTTGAGAGCAATCGGCTGAAGGCGGCGGAGAAGGGACGCGTGATGATGTTGGATCGTGATGTGAGGCGCGATAGAGCCATTCTCCACCGTTGATTTTTTCCGGCGAATCTGTTGAAAACTTCGCGTAGAAACTGAGAGGACAATTTCAGTGAAGAAGACGAGAGCGATCCGAATATTATAGACTCTGAAAGGATAAGAAGGTTTTTCCGTACACATCCTCACGTGGGTCACGTGACACCTGTGATAAAATTTATTAAAAGCTAAATACAAAATCAATCTATATTCATTTCTCTTAATATGTGATTATAAGATAAATAATCAAATGGATAAACCAAAATAAATAAACAAACATGTGATTAAAGAGATTATTAAATAGAAAGAAATATGCAATAATTATTCAATGAATGGACTAAAAATATCTGATTGTAGCATCATTTATATATATATATATAAATATTCTAACATTATACAACAAAACTGGCGGCTCCAGATGCAGTTTAAAAGATAGAAACTATGGTTGTTGCCATGTGAATCTCTGGCCAAAAATGATGCAAAGAATATTTGTCAAAGACAGTTTATCTCTCTAGTCTCCTACTACTGATTCTTGCATATCTCAGCAAAGACTTCACACCTGCACAATATATCGTGAATTAGATGATTTGCAATATTGATCACCACATGCAAATAAAGGCTAATCTGCAAGAGGGTTACTTACGGCGTTCTTGAATTAAGGCAAAGCAACAAGTCTGCGGTTAAGACTCATGTGAAAGCGCGATATTCTTTGCTTTCTCGAGAGTTCACTACTATCAGAAGTTTTCTTCTGCTTTCTTCTATATAAAAGATCTGTTGTGTTTGGTTCATACTGGACCTAATGACAGTTGTAAATTCTCATCAATCGTATACACATGGAAAAAAATATTTTATCAATGTAGAGATTCTCAAGCAAGTATTTACCTTGAAAGAACTGCAATCTATCTTACATTCGACCTCATTGATAATTTTTAGTCCTTCCATTGCACGCGACGTCCCTGAAGATTCATCATCCGGACCGCTTAATTTCGCCTTGTTCCTGTAAAGAGTATGCTAAGATGATTACTAACTGTGCTTGCAAAACTGAAGACAATAAATATTTATGTGCTTATCATTGCTTTATTCACCTCTTCAGAAATAGTCCAGGTTTCTCTTCATCACGGACAAACGAGAGAAAGTCATTCTGTAGATAATTAGCAAAACCTGGTTCCACTGTTACAGCTGTAACTTCAGGCTTATCATTCCCTCTGTTCATAAGCTGAATCGAGAGACGGGTTTGGGCAGATGACTGCATAGAAATTTGCAAGGATAGATTAGTAGGTGAGAACATATACGCATGTGTCCAAACATATCAAGAGAAGCATACATATTCAATCCTGTATATGTTCTGATCATGGAGAAGGGCTCGAGCATTCTCATGGTACACCATATCAAAGAATCTTCCTGGTTTTCTGTAGTTCTCGTATGCATATAGTTGCAGAAGCTTGGTGTCTGTCTCATCCGCTGCGACTACATGAAGCTGAAGCATGTCCAAGCCACTTCAATGATTAGTGCAGAACAAAGCAGAGTCAAGACAATAACAAAATAAATTTGAAGCTTACATGCTTAACAAACTTTTGAACTAGCTTGTCCAATGTGAAGAGAATATATGATTGTGCTCCAATAATAGCTCGGCATTCATCTTCAAACTTTGTATTGTCGCTAGAGCCATCAAGTAAATTATAAAGGGCCTCCATGAACCTATGCTTCCAAATATTAGTTAGGAAATTAAAATGTACCAATAGTGCTTAGAAAATAAACCACCTGGTATAAGAATCAGTAGATGTGCTATCTGGAGCTTTCAATTTCCTCTCTGAATGTATCTTTGCTAATTGTATTCTCTCGTACAATATCTGGAAAATCAGTAGAATGAACAGTTTGAACCGAGATAATTGACATTTGAGGAACAAGAGAAGGTTGTTTCGTAGCCCTTACTTGATGAAGCCTAAAAAGCACATAAAATGAGTCATTCCCATAGAAAACTCGAGAATCATTCCGGGAGTCACATTCACTTGCTTGCAGTGTCCCAGGCACATGCTTTGCAAGGGGCTTTACAAGTTGCAGATCCCGTTCTGAAAATGTGACAAAAGATCCATCTCCACCCGCGTTAGAATTAACCATCCCTCCAGCCTCGTTTTCACTCTCAGCCACACTATCACGTCGGTCACAGTTCATAGCTCCTTTATGCTCTTCATCGGAAGAAACTTGGCCACCAAACTTGCTTGCTGAAACAATAATTTTAGAGGCATTTTCATCATCTTCAGGTTGGATATTGCTTCTTGCTCCAGCTTCAGTACCATATGCACCCTCTTTGTATTCTCGATCTTTATTACTTCTTTCATTGTCTGGCAGTTTCTGTACAGGCTCGAGCTCATTCTCTTTATAAACCTCAATATTTTCGTGCTCGAAACTTTCAGTGGGAGATAATTCACCCTCTTCACGCTCGACCTTACGCTCTCCCATTGATACATCACTAACCTTACTACGATTCTCTACACGCTCCATTATCAAATCATTTTTGGGTGACACAAGTTTGGAAGGCTTGCTATCCTGCAAAACCAAAAAATATATATATTAGGGAAATATCTTTTTGTTTTTTTCACATAGAGAAAAATTTCTCAAGACTCATAATGAAATAAACTTAAGCAACTTTAATTTAAGCAAGACTACATTTACTCAATGAAAAATAAATACGGCCCTCAGGTCAAGAACAAATGTAATATAAGGAAGAAACAACACAGTTACCTCATTAGTTAAAGTTGCACCATCATGCAGTTTATCTTGATGAATGCTTTCTAGTGGGATATCTTGCGGAAAAGAGCTTCCTTGTAATATTGGGTTTTCATTGTTAGGCGATTTTGGAGGTGTTAAAGGTTTAAGGTTTAAGGCCAGAGAACCGTCACATGTGTTTTCCTTCACTGCCTCACATGCATCATGGTGCTCTTGGGTGTCTTCGATATTTGCAACATCCTTCATTGTCTCATTAGTTTGAGACCTAGAAGGAGCACCAAGCATCGGTTCCAAAAAAGTTACCCACAGCTCCATGACTTTATCCGCCTGTTCAGTAGCATATATTTCTTCACAATAATACTTGATTAGTTGATATAGGTCAGTATGAACTTGTGTATCAGTATAACTGAACTCCATATCTGGGGTGAAAGAGGGTTTATTTCCAACAGCAATGGCACGAATCAGGTCTTCTTTATGCTTTCTCTCGCTGATATCTTTAATTTCTGCCACTAAACCTGTATTTTGGACATAATAACCAGCTTTAGTCGATGCAAACTTACACTTAAACGATACAAGACATTCTCTTCGTTTCAACATTTTTCTTCTTCTAACAATCATGACGCCTTTATACTAAGAACTTTCCGTATAGAGAAAGAAATTGCTAATATGGAATATCCAAAAAATCTTCTATTGTAGATTCAAGTGCAGCCAAATGAAATAAATGTTGTTTTAACATCCAAACAAAAAGAACTTTTAGTCCTGCAAGAAAACATACCTTTTGTGCTCAAATTCTTGGAGTCCTGCTGCTTGAAATAGAAGCTACGATGATCTAGTGATTTTTGATGATTCTTAGCATATACTTCAGCCCATACTTTCCTGAAATCAGAGCGACACCTAGCCCATTCTTTTTGTTTTTGCTTCAAGCGTGTTAGTATCACCGGTAAGGCAGTATGAGAAGTACTCTTCTTCAAAAAATCCACGACATCAAGCCCATAATCCCCGTACAACCGCTCAATGCATCTTAGGTTCAGCACTATTAAATAGTCACAAATAAATTCATTAGCCCAAGTAAAAGATTAATAAACATACATATCAACATATATCACATCCAGATTTGATCAGATAACTGCTTGCCTGATAAGTGTTCTCTAATACAAATTGGTGTCTCTATAGAGATTGTGTTGTTGTTGATCTTTTCCAGAAGAATTTCCACACGCTTAATGGTTGCACTCACAGACTCAAGTAACATGTCCAACTCAAACCTGAAACCATATAAGTTAGTTGATAGATCAGATGGAAGTACAATTTTTATGGGAATTCTATTGTTAGCAAAGAAACCCCACAATATTATTCACACAAGTTTTGGGCAACTTAATGAAATTAGAAAGGAAGACTGAACCTAATAGAAAACAATTATGAACTCACCAAAGTTATCGAAAGACTCCTAATCTAAATATAGAAAGAAATACAGGAACCTAATGTATAGTATATACGTCTTACCTATCATCCTCACATCGAAACAAGCTTTCTTCATACTGGTTTTTGCGCATGTGTTTGAATGAGTAATCCTCACTCCCCGATGTCCTAGATACCCAATGATCATTAAGTACCTTTCCACCAAGTGAATTTCTGTAGCTTGGAATCTGAACGGGATACTACGCAGGAGAAATATAACGATTTGATCATAGAGCACAAAATCGACCGCTATATTGAAGTATTGTAGATAATATCATTAAGGTTCAAGAAGGGCTCACATCATCTGGCAGGCGACGATAACTTGGTGTACATTGTGCGCAGTCAGCAAGATCCAATTCATTTATTGCCTTGGCCATATGGTTGGTAGACAGCAGATTTTTTTGACTTCCGAGGTCTGGATGTCTTTCATGACCCCCATTATTTTCATAATTTTGAATCCCCTCGGTGTCCTCTACCTTAGGATATCCTGGCCATTGACCTTGATTAGCAAGGGATTCTGCAAATATTAACATAGTTGTACTCTCAGTAGGCGCTGAGCCAAGCAATAATAATTAAACAATGCAAATAAATAATGTTACATGTGATTCAAATACTCACTTCCCAGAGAATTACCAGCAGAGTAGGCCACAAGGTTCTCATCACCATCTTCTCGTTGATCAGAGAATTCAGTATACTCATCATGCTTACTCCGTTTTATTTTCTGTGGCAGGAAAGAGTCCATATCAACATCTCACCCAAACTTTGAACCATCAAGTTCTTAAACATATATTCTCTCATCTATTTTCTGTAAATTGTCTGAAATCCTATATTTATCACTCTTAGAACAAGGGAAAGGATGTTATTACTTTCCATACCAAGCATGCATGGCCACAATAATGCAGGCTTTGTACCACGGACATCAATTAGAAACATCATAAACTACGTTGTGAGATATATGTGAATCTTTTAGAAAGAATGAATTAAGACAAACCTTCTCATAATGCTTTGGATGCATGGCATGAAATGGTGAATTTCTATCATACGGTACTGTATTCCTTCTAAAAAGAGGGTTATTAACAGAAACTGATCCTCGAAAATCAGGTAAGAAATGAAAAAACTCTTCGAGCAGATCTTCATGGTTTTGGAACAATAGAGTAACCTGTAGAATAGATGATCATTAGAAAAAAAAAAAACACAAGAAAATCGTAGGCAAATCAACACTATGCCCATTTACTACAATATACCTCTTGATAGACCTCGTTGATGGACTTGGTTGCCTTTCTATACATGTTCAAGATGTCTAGGAATTTTTTATATGCACGCTCATCACCTCCAAATCGCGCCTAGAGGAATGAATCTCGAGTAATGTTAACTGGTTATATCAAGACTAAATTGACATCTGATTTACTACATCATATACATACCTTAATCTTGTTGACAAATTCGATAGCTACTTGGAAATCCACTTGCTTCTTAGGTTTCTCATCCTCGGGCGGCTGAAGAGTAATTTTATACCCCTTCGGTAAGAAAGTATTAAAACCCAAAAGCAAGTCGTCATAGCCCTTGAACAAATCTTTGATTCTTGTTATGACGCCATTAGTGTCAACTCTACAACCAACATGAGACGCAAAGACATTAGAACATTTCCATCTATGAGAAGGCACACACTAAATGGAAGAGAGAAGAAGACATTTTACCTCTGAGCTTTGAAGTCCTTCATGACTCCAAGGAAAGTCTCATATTTTTCTTTATTGTCTTGAAACATATCCTTCACAGCTTTGAGATATGTCAAAGCAGCATCTGTTGTTAGCCCTGCCGTAGTTCCTCCCCCACCACTCGTTAAAGGCCTTCCATTTCTGCATTACACAAAACATATATTAAGTAGCTTTTCGCATTTACGTCAAAAAATCAAATTCCTTTTCCACTTCGAAGCTAAAATAATTTTTCATAAGCCTATAGGGGTAACTAACCCAAGAACAATCATAGACCTCAAAGAGAAAACTCAACAAAACCTAGAAAAGAAGAATAATTTTGTTAAAAGCCTACCATTTCTGTATTACACAAACATATCTCTAAACGCAACTACGTCGAAAAATCAGATTCATATTCCCTTTCAAAACTGCAGTAACTTTAATTAGCTTTATAAGGGTAACTAACTAAACCAAGAACAATCATAGACCTCAAAGAGAAAACTCAACTCAACCTAGAAAAGAACAATAATGTCGTTAAAAGCCTACTATTTATACATTACACAAACATATCTCTAAACGCATCTACGTCGAAAAATCAAATTCATATTCCACTTCAAAACTGCAGTAACTTTGATTATCCTATAAGGGTAACTAACTAATTCAAGAACAATTATAGACCTGAAAGATAACAAAAAAAAATTAAACTCAACCCAGAAAACAAACCATGAAAATTTCAAATCCCCACAAGCAATAACAATATCTATCAACCTACACAATTATGAGTTCCGTACAAAAAAACATAGTCAAAGAAAATTTGAAATCAAAACAATAGAGAGAGAGAGCTTACGTTTCTCCTCGAGAGGAAACAGTAGGTGCTCGTATCTGTCCGTCAACGTAAACCTCTTCATCTCTAACCCTCTTCATCTCTTTGTAATATATATTACAAAACACAAAGATTCAAGCTTCACCAAACTCAAGTACCCTGAAAAACAATCCAAGTTTAAATTCACAAATACAAAATGTCCCCCTCTCTTCACAACTAACACAAACCAAATCTATCGCCAAAAATCTAAACAACAACCATAAGAGAAACAAAAATCAAAAACATTCATGAAAGCGAAAAACCAAATTTCTTCTCTCCTTCTGAAAAAGAAGATAAAACCAACATAGAAGCAATAGAGAAGGAAGAGTGGATCGCCGACGTGAGTTTACCGGAGAAAAAAAGATATGAATCTTCACAGAGAGACAAAAATATTGCTTCTGGTTTGTATCTCTCTCTTCATCTCTTTCTCTGTCTCTTATATCTCTCTATCTCTCTGATACGAATAGTTTTGAGAAGAGATTAGTCGTAAGAAAACCAAAAAGGCCAAAGCTTTGGAGCAACAGAGGGAAGAGAGCGAGAGAAGGAGGAACCTGAGATTGTGTCTATGTATATATTGGATTATATAAATGAGAACAATAATCAAGTGTGTTTGTGTTGTTAATAACAAATCTTGGCATGTACTTTCATGCATCTATAAGTAATGAAACCTTTTGGAGACGATAAGAGATTTGATTACAAATGGATTTTTTTCTAATTTCTACAGTCAAACTAGGGCATAATCCTATCAACAATACTCTCCGGATTAAAACATATGAGATTTCTTACCATTTTCTCTTTTTTTTTATACCTTTTTTTTCGTAAACAAAAATTAAATTTCCTATTTTTAGTAGATTATGTTTTAATTGAAGATTTTTTCTTTATAATAATAACCTATATATTTAGGTTTTTTTTTTAATTGATTATTAAAAAAAGTTGTTGTTTATTTTTTGGGTTTTGTGCAAAAAACCCTCAAAGTTGCTAATTTTTGTAACTTTACCCTCCACCTCCAAAAAATGCAGAATAATCCTATGAAGTCTAAAATAATAGGCAATATAGCCCTTATGTATATATTTTAAACGTTTTCACGATCACATACATTTGATTTTTAAAATTATAAAGTTATAATTGCACTCGTCGTCTCGAGGGCTTCGATTTGATATATTATTAATCATAATTTTAAAAACTTGAAAATAACGAAAAAGGGTTAGATTGCCTATTATTTTGGACTTCATAGGATTATTCTGCATTTTTTAGAGGTGGAGGGTAAAGTTGCAAAAATTGGCGACTTTGAGGGTTTTTTTGCACAAAACCCTTATTTTTTCTTTGTTTTTGGTACAAAATATCTTAATGAATCTAAAAACATTTGGTTTAATTCGAGATTTTTAAATGATACAAATAATCTTAAAATTTACCATAGTTTTTGATATTTTCAAATCGACATATATCATGGTCATTTTTTCGGAAGCTTCTGCTATGTCAATAGATATATCGTGTTCTTTAACACGTTTTAAAGACATAAACAAAGTTTATTATAATATGAAGCTTTAATTTCTATTAGCAATTCTTGAGAGTTATATTAAATTGTCACCCAACTCTTTTTACTACATAATGTTTACTTCTACGGACATTTTTTACGGTCTCCTTACTCGACTTGTTCGCTAATTAATGAAAACATATCAAATGGTCATGATGAATGAATCAATATCATGTATCCATCGGTTTTTCGTTAGATGATACACAAAAGAGTGAAGTTGTAATATTATAATTTTGAAGATCATGAGTTTGTAAATATTTAGTTCTTCTGATTATATTTTGTTTATAACAAAGATCCATGCTAGTATGAGATTTTTAACAACTAACAATGAGAAGTCCAAGTGCATGTTCAAATCCAATCTTTAACATTGTTTTTATATATCAATGACGATTAATATTTTAGTAAGTGTTCCAACAATATTTTATCATATAGTTGGAATCTTATTGATGATGTATGAAAGGTCTCAATCTATTTTTATATTATATTAAAGCTCACGTCTTTTACTATATAGGTCTTTCAAAATAAAATTTGACAGTACGTTATCATATATTGATTAAGTTATTCGTACATAATGGGTAATGTCCTATTGGTAATGTGTGAATGATTTCTATATATTTTTAGCATTATACTCAGTCTCACGTCTTTTCCTATATATATGTTAACTTTAAAAACATATTTAGTCGTTTGTTTTCATATGTAGGTTAAATTATTTTATATACATAATAGATAACGAGTTGAATCTTTATCTACTAACAATATGGAGGAGAATTTTAACTACTAACAATAAATCGTTTAAGTGTATGATCAAGTAAAATATTTAAGACTATTTTAACGTATCAATGGCGATTTAATATACTATCATGTGTTCCAAAAAAATTTCTTTTATCATAAGATCCTCAAGATTCTAATATCACCATTTGACACCAAACTACCTTCCAAAATACGACGCCGCCAGTTTTCGGTGGCTTTTGATTTTGCTATGACTATCGACAAGAGTCAAAAATAATCACTCAGTGAAGTCTGTTGGACTATATTTACAAAGGTCTGTTTTCTCGCATGAACAACTTAAGGTTGCTTTCTCAAAGGTAACTTCAAAGAAATCACTAAAAGTGTTTATTCTATACAAAAAAATTAAATTATGAGGCAAATCGGGAATGTAGTGTCCAAAGAGGTGAAATAAGTGCTCTTTAATATAAAAATTATTTTCGTTTCTATTGGTGATGTATGAAGAGCATCAATCTATTTTAACGTTTATACAATCTCATGTCCCTTTCTATAGAGGCTGATTTTTAACAAAAACTTGGTAGTGTGATTTCATATGTAGTTTAAGTTATTTAATATATTTAGTGGATAACAAGGTGAACATATATCTAAAAATTGAATCATTTTGAAGATATTTTATATATAACAAAGATTCATGCTAGTATGGATAAAATTTTTAACTACTAACAATAACAAGTCCATGTGTACGTTAAAATCAGATTTTGTACTTTGTTTTTACATTTGAATGACGATTTAATATGCTAGTACGTGCTCTGATAAAGTTTTTATTAAATAGTTGGTATCCTATTGGTAATGTACGAATGAGACTCTCAATCTATGTATTATATTCAATTTTTGTCTTTTCCTATATATGTCTATTTAAAAAATATTTTGTCATATGTTTACATATGCAGATTAAGTTATTTTGTATACATAAGGGTAACAAGTTGATCCTTTATCTAAAAATTGAATTATTTCGACTATATTTTGAAAGTATGAAATTGTTAACTACTACTCATAATTAGAAGTCCAAGTGTATATTCAAAAAAAATATCAATTTAACTCTAGTTTTTACATATCAAATAATAATTTTATATGCTAGTAATTAAGTAGTCAGTCAATAATTTTTTTTTATCATATTGATGATGTACGAAGGGTCTCAATCTATTTATTGCATTATACTCAATCTCAAGTTCTTTCCTATATAGGTCGACTTAAAAAAAATTGGTCTTATGATTTCATAAATATGTTAAGTTATTTGATATACACAATGGATAACAAGTTGAAGTTTTATCTAAAAATTAAATTCTTTTAAGGATATTTTGTTTATAACAATGATTCATGCTAGTATGAATGAGATTTTTAACTACTAACAATAATAAGTTCAAATGTACGTTCAAATCAAAATATTAACATTGCTTTTACATATCAATGGCAATTTAATATGCTAGTAAGTGTTTTGAAAATGTTTTTATTATAGAATTGTTATCCTATTGGAAATGTTTGAAGGGCTTCAGTTGATTTTTTTACATTATATTTAGTCTCCACGTCATTTCTTTGCATAGATCTACTTCAAAAAAACATAATTTCGTATGTTTCTATACGTAAATTACGTTATTTGGTTTACATAATGAACAATGACTAGCACTTTTTTTTTGTAAAAATTTAAAATTTTCTACTTAATTAGGTATACTTTTTTTTTAGAAAAAAAAAACCTAATTAGGTATACATGACATGCAAGAATATAAATGAGGTTAACTAAACGAATTTTTTTTTGTGTGCTAAACTTAACTAAACGAATTGATCACGGCAAATGTGATAAAATTTGTATGATTAACTTTAAGAAGTCAAGCTTACCCGAACAACGACTATCAAGTCCATGCTCGTAACCCATGATATGTAACAAATCTTTACCAATCGAGGCTCTGGAATCCTTATCTCTAAACGATTCTATCAAGAAACTTTGGTTAAACGAAATCCTATTTATAATATATATTTGTGTTGTAAACAACTTGTAATATGCAGATTAAAACTCGAGTTGTAACACAATAATGCAAAAACACAGTTACTAGATTATAAGGTTTTGTCAAATGAGATCCGATCATTTTTCATGTGATATTTCTATTTTCTTTTTATTATGGCATGTATGGGATATGATATTTCTATTATTTTGTTTTAGAATATTCCTCTTTTTTTTTTTTTTTTTTTTGAATATTTGGAAGTTCAAGCCCGAATGCCCTACATCTCCCAGAGGCGGGACCCACACCAGGTTAAATTCATCTCTTTTAGAGAAGAGATCCCTCCCGACGGACGTCGAACCCAGTATCTCCACCTGGGAGATTTACCACTGGACCAACACAACGTTGG